TTAACTTGAACAATAGTATTATTTAGCTTGCTATGCATGTTCTTGTGTACTGTATACTACAACTTGTTGTCTTGAATCATCTCTCTCTCACACTGGGTATTGCCAGTTTGGCATTGTGTTTGTTATGATATACTGAGAAAAACCGGTAATTCAACATTTTCACCATGTTTGTTTATATCTGTTATACTATGCCATTGATCATTTTGAAGTACAGAGTAAAATGTTATGGCGGCCATGTTAAATTCAATATGGCCGCTGTAATTATAATTGGAACTTGTGTGTCTTGTTTTAATATGAAATAGCTTATTAACCTGCGCCAGTCTGCAAATTTTCACGTCTCTATATCTTCTGTGAACGGAAATATTGCTAAGTTTGTAATTTTTATGGCGGCCATTCTTAAAACAAGATGGTGACCGAAAACGCCATTGGATCACATGCATCACGTTGTTGTATAAAGAAGTAACCCAAATTACGTCTGTCAGTCAATTTTCAAGTCTGTACGAAGATTATTAACCGAGATATAGCTATTTTTTAAGAAATGACGGCGGCCATTTTAAATTTAAAATGGCGGCCGAAGTTGTAGTTGGATTGCGTGTGTCCTGTCTTTAAATGAAAGAGCATACAAAAGTATGCAAGTGTACCAATTTTCACGCTTTTTTCACATTTTGAACGATTTTGATGATGTCCTGACCTAACTGACTGTACTATTAGCGGATGACAGGCTACGGTGTCGTGACGCGTGACAGCACCACGGCCGGACTCTTATGGATTTCTCTCCGGATTTTTATTAGCAGCTAAAACACGGGCACACGGAACATTTTCTTTGGAGGCGATCAGTACAATGAATACCCCGATGTTCCACCGTGCCCTAATCCACACGATTCAAATAATCGCATCATGTTCCGCACCATTCCCACGCCGCCAGCTACAGACACGACGCTCTACACGAAAGAAAATAAAAATATCGCACGAGCGCAGCGAAATTGAGCCAAGTTGGGGGAGAAAACTTTCGGCGAAGCCCTTGTAAGATGTTAGGCCCTCCCCCGAGTTTCCGACTCGCGTATCTAGAGACCGCACGATGAATAAATAACAACGGATTGGCTGCATCGTACCTAACTTAACGTTGCTGCCAAATAACAGACGAACTGCAATCAGTCTAGCCGGGGTTATAATTGTATTGATGTACGAATGGTTCAAATATGAAATCCGTCGGCGGACGGCGCGGCCGTATATCTCGGAGCTTTCCGTGCTGATGTCAAGTGGAACGGCAATTTGCCACGACGTTTTAATGTTTTTGTTTCGGTAAGAACTGACGGCGAACGAGCAAGGAAGTGGCCGTGGGGGACGCGAGCGAGAGTGTAATCCGGCGCGTAACCAATGGCGCGGGCAAATCATGTAACTGAGCTTCTGACCAGAACGTGACCTAGAATGTAGCGGAGAATGTAAGCATGCGTGTAAACAAGGAGGTGTGTGCAGTAACGTATAGCCAGAGGTATGTGAACAGATGATGCGGCCACGCGATGCGACCAAAATGTGATCAAGGGACACAACAAGGGGCGTCACTACGAGAGGTTTCTAATGTTATACCCAGGAATGTGATAAATTAAAGCACGTTAGCAATAACATAACAAAATTTTTTAACAATGATGCAATTAAAAATGTAACCGAAGATTTAAACAGCAATGTTCCCAAGAAGGCACACCGAGAATATCACCAAACGTCTCCTTACAGAATCACGACAAATACACGATTAGCGGATTAGAGAATTAGAAGGACAGGAACAGGAAACAGGATTGATTGTACTGGGGGCTATGCTACAAATTTACTGACGACTTCTCTGCGTCGCCACAGTTCTACCAGATGCCACTACTGCCCACAGCAAACTGCGCGAGCTACAAATCTACTGACCATTTCTCTACATCGCCACAGCTCTATACCGGGTGCCACTACTGCCCACTACTGCAAACGGTACGAGCTACAAATCTACTGACCATCTCTCTACATCGCCACAGTTCTACCAGATGCCACCACTGCCCACAGCAAACTGCGCGAGCTACAAATCTACTGACCATCTCTCTACATCGCCACAGCTCTACCGAATGCCACCACTGCCCACTACTGCAATCTGAATGGCAAACATCACCAACGACGAGGCCGGCTGCTATTTATACAGCGCCAACGAGAGCGCTATCCGTAACCATGTTTACATTTTGGCGGCCATTTTGGCGTCTTTTCAGTTCGCCGAGAGGCAGTTGGTCATTTGATCAACAAGATGTCTTCCCTGTGCCGAGACGTACACCGGATCTGTCAATTTGTTTCCCCGCCGTCGGTCTGCGCTCGTTTACCACGATGTTCTCGCGATTCTCTTCACACTTTTGCTTGCCGAACGACGACAAGCGGCGACCCGCCGACGATGCGGATAAACAACGAAAGCAGATGCGAAAACGACGCCCATCGAATGTTCTCGCGCGCGCGCGGGGGTTGCTGCTGGTTGCTGGAATGTCGGATAGTGCTAGCGGCGGCCCGTGGCCCGTCTTTATTCGCTTTCACGGCGAGCGCCGACAGAAGCCGAGGGCCTGCTGAAGCCCGCTGAAGCCGACGTGTGAGGTGAAACCCGCTGTTGGGACGTGCTGAAATTCTAGGCCGCGAAGAGAGATGTTTCTCTCCCGGCAAGAGAGAGAGAGAGAGAGAGAGAGAGAGAGAGAGAGAGAGAGAGAGAGAAGAGAGAGAGAGAGAGAGAAAGAGAGAGA